ATGTTTGGGCAACAACCACGCTCAAATTCTGATTTTTGGAAAATAGTTAAAGAAAATGGTATAGAAGATGAAGATCAGTTACCAACTCCAGTGGAAAGTGATAATATTGTTGAACCGTCTATCATAACTGAAACTCCATCGGATGATTTGGATAATGAGATACAAGAACATAATTTAAACGTAACTAATTTGATTCCTGCAATGTTTCCACTTCTTGATATTAATGATAGTACAAATGCCTCCAGTATTGTTTCTGGTTCTCTTCTTGATTTATCTTCGTCTTTATGTATTAATGATCATCAACCTCCATTAATTACAACAAATTCATCAACACCAGATCTTATTGCTTTTGATTCTCCTCCACTATCATTCCGAACACTTACAACTTTTTCTCAATCAAATGATACAGCAAGTAATGTACTTCATTTAAATAATAACACTTCTACAATTCAACCAGGTCAGGTAAATTATAATAATTCATTTGAACCTACGAATATTTTTGATGAATTTCTGCCATGTTCACCTCAACATACCAGTTTAGTTTCTATTCCAGCTTCTCATTCACAATCATCCACTTCATCCTTAAAAGCATCTTATTTAGCAACATCACCGTCACCATCGCCACGACATGCAGACATAAGACGTAAAGCGACAGATAATTATTTAGAAACGGCTAATAAAAAAAGAAAACTATATGATGAACATCTATCTAGATTAGCTGAACAATATAAGAAAAGAGATTGTGTCGGTGTTAAAATTCATGATGTTGACAGAACGAATACTGATCCAAAAATCTTACCTTGTTTAATTCTTTCAAAAGAACAAAAAGGTGAAGATATTATTTTTTATTTAGCATGTCAATTTGGTTTATTATCAACTAAGTTCACCATTGAAAGTCTTGTTGATCTAAGAACAGCTTGTCCTGATGATTTAAAAAATTTAGATGTGTTTGAACTTAAAGATGAAATTACTTTGATAGAAGCATCGAAATTGTTTGTTCGTGGAGCGGTAAGTGGAGCAACGTGTGATTGTAAAACGAAATGTGCGACAAAGCACTGTCCATGTAAAAAAGCAGGAGTCGCATGTTCAACAAAATGCCATTCAAAAAGAGGTGCATGTGAGAATACAAAATAATATCCAAAAAATGTGAATCTTCTCATCTTTCTTTTTCTCGTCCTGCCATATAGTCCAGAGTTTACTTTTATTCTTTTTATTCTTTTTTTACTCGCTGTTAGTATTGTTTATTGTCTATAATAAGGGACTAACTAAGAAAAATGTAAATAGTTAATTGTCTTTCTAGGAAC